AAGCATAGCTGGATGGGGCAGTAGCCCCACATGCAGCTCTGGAGGGAACCCCATATAGCTCCAGCCTGGGCCAGTGGATCAAGAGCCACAGGCAAATGGCTTTTTCGTGAATGTCTTCCCATATTGGGCACCTATTTGTAGCACTATTTCTAGTAGGTCTTAATAATAAAATCCTGGGGTCAGACATTAGAGGAAATGCTGAGAGATGAGAGAGATGAAGGAGAAAACCCACCAGCCACCTTGCTTCTCAACTTCCGAGTCGAAAGAGACTGAGCTCATGTTTCATCCTGCCTTATCACTTCCTCTCTCTGCCCAGCCAAATCATTTCCTGTCTGTCTGCACATAATTCTTTAACTCTATGCTTAGCTAGTGGCTAGTCCCAAATTCTAATCTTCAGGCAACCTTTATTTGTACAAATAAGATATCACCATACTTGGCTGGCCAAGGTATTGAAAATACATAACAATTGAGGGCCCAGCACTAAGGAAGACTTTTATACCAATCCATGTAAGGCTTGGAGAACATTGAAAATGAAGAGCAGAAAGTACCTTGTAAGTGTGGAAGCCCAAAAACGTGAGCTTAAAGTTGTTGACAAAACTGTGGCTACGAACCCTGACTTAGGGTGTGGTTACTTGGTATTTTGGACATTAAGATGCCTATAGAGGGAGATCCACTCCACCCTGACCAATGGTCAGAGAATTCAAGAGTACTTCTTTCTGCTCCTTCTTTTGAAATAGGAGGTTTGACCTAGAAAGCAGCTACCTTCAGGATGCTTGGTCTAGGGAGAGTTAACTGCCTAAACAACAGAAAGCTTTTCTTAAGAAATAACAACTTGATGTCTCAAGTATTAGGGCAAGTAACAGTTTTGTTGATTTTGTATCATGTTAAAGCAGTCTTTTGCCTTCTTTCCTGTATGGTGTTTGGCTATAAAAGTGTATGGAAAATTCAACATGGGTGAACTCAACTCAGAAGTCAGAACGAAGAATTCAGCATTTAGCTTTTACCGAGTTTCCCTCCCATTACCATCCTGTGTCTTGGTGATTCTTTCTTATCTCTGTTCCTCCTACCTAACTTTTCTAATCCTCACATCCTTACCCTGGAAAGTGTGAACCCACCGTGATTAGGATAGTGGAAGAAGTCACCCCCCTCCCCCAAAAGTGGCTCCCAACCAGTAAGAGTAAGAGAGTAGGAAGAAAGGCTGTAAAATGTAAGGCTTAAAATTCCTTAAATCTCAAGGCAGCCATTGATTTTGTAAACTCACAGCAGCTGTAGTTACTTTCACTGAACCTGCACAAGACTGGCCTTATCAACAATCAATGATAGATGGGGGAGGGGCTCAGAAGACCCAATGCTTTATTGCTGAACTCTTGACTATGGAAATATTCTGGAAGAGGAAGAGTCATTGTCTTCATTTATGTGCTCAACACTGAGCCCATCGGGCTCGAGTGGATAACACCAAACTTGGAGTCACATGGACACTCCTGAATAAACTCTTTGGGTTTATTTATTTATGAAAAAAAAAGAATGGAAAAAAAGATTTGTATAAAGGGGATAGGTAGACATAGGGGGCAGTGAAATAAGGGGAAATACAGGGTGAGAGTAATCATCATAAATTTTATACATTGTTTAAAATGTCAGAGAACAAGTTTAATTAAATAAAAAATTATTAATACTAATAAAATTTCTGAAAAAGTGAAAAAATGCAGCACAAGTTTTCTGTTACGGGTCTGCTCTTCAGAGTAGCATACTAATGTTGCGCATATGTTAATATTTCTTCTGAGCTCTTCTGTGCGATAGCATTCTGCCTTTTGTCTCTTTTCACTTGTAGAGACTTTAAGGTTAAAGAAAGGGATGTGTCAGCTAAACTCACTGAAGAGAAGCTGGGGAAGTGTGCAAGCTCCCTGGTAGCTTCTCTACTGGCTGAGACATCCAGACTCTCAATGACATCATAGACGAAGCTCTCAGTTGATGAAGAATTGTTGTCTGGGAGCTGGGCAGATGGCTCAGTTGTTAAGAGCACTCTCTTGCAGAGACCCCAGGTTCAGATCTCAGCACTTATGTGGTGACTCTCAACTGTCTGCAACTCATGTTCCAGGTGATCAGAAGTCCCTTCTGGTTTCTGTGAACTGCACTCATATGGTGCATATAACACTTAGAGGGAAAATTTTATACATTCAAAGATCTTTGACACGTATGGCAGATAAACTCATGTCTGGCTTTAAAACATGTCATAAAGGGATAAAATAAAAGTGTTTCTAGTCTCTGATATTAAATCAGGTCTTCTAATCCCTCTGAGAATCATGGAAAACCTGAGATACCACGAGCCATGGCCTTCATACTTGGTCGGAGTACAGGAAGAGAGAAGTGACAGGTCAAGCATCATTTTATATAAATAAAGGATGAGAGGATCTCCAGTAAGTCAAGGGAGACATAGGAGTATTTTAGATAATGAATAAGAACATCTTCCTTGAATTATTCTGAGTGGGGATCCAGGACTGGTGGACTTCTTGTTCCTTTAACTCTCCTATGACATAGCTTGAGTCTGAGTTGAAAGCTGGCTGGCTGGTAGTGACACTGTCAGGCAGGAATCCACTAGGGAGGTGGAAAATGGGATGCAATGAACTTGGGATGAACTTCATTTTCGCAGAGTGTCTTGTAGAGCAGGAACCATTCTTATCAGTTTCTTGCTGTCCTCTGTTTCCTAAGAGCCAAGGTTCTGGAATACTTCATGGCTGCCTAGAGAAGTGTCATGCATGAAACCTGAATTCCTGGTTCCCGGATAAGACATTTTCAGGGTTTGGGGCTGTTTTAAATGGTAGTAAAAATTTCACTAAGTCAGAAATCTCACATGAAAACAGCACATCTAGGATCCCAAAACAGAAATCACGACTTCAGATTCCTTTTAGAGGTACAACTTCTAAGTTGCACAAGTACCCAGCTGTGCATCATCACACCTTTAATCCCTGTACTTGGGAGGCAGAGGAGGCAAACGTCTGTGAGTTCAAGGCCAGGGTGGCTTACAGAGAGAGCTCCAGGACAGTCATTCTTTTTGTTTCTTTCTTTGATTTAAAAAGAGGACAGCACAAGTAGCTTCAGAGCCATTTTGTGCAAAGGCAACTTGTGGAAAGGAGCAGCTGAGACATTAGGAGAGCAGGCACGGGTGCTGTGATGGGAAGGGATGCCATTTCTCCACAGATAACTGCTTGATGAAGCATGGAACTTTAGAGCTCAGGGGCTCACACTTACACAGAGCCTTTTCCAGGGCAGTACAGCAGAGGAACACTGTTCCTTTGTTGTGTGCATTATTCTTCCCTGATGGCATGAGATATCATCAAACACTGGAATGCTATTTGTATAACTTTGGCAGTATTGGAATGCTGTCTATCTAGTATCAGATAAAGTAGAGATCAAAAGGTGTTGATACACACGGGAAGACATTGGGACTCTTCAGTGTTTCATAAATTTAAAATGATTTATTTATTATATTTTTGTATATGAGTGTTTTGCCTGCATGTATGTATTTACAGCACATGTTCAGCTCAGGGATGTCAGAGGAGGGCAGGAGGGCATTGGGTACCTTGGAATCAGAATTGCTGGTGGTTGTGAGCTGCTTTGTAGATGCTGGGAAATGAAGCAAGGTTGGTACTCAAGAGCAGTTTGTGTTCTTAACCACCATGCTATTGGGAATCTTGGGAATCTTGCACAGCAGGAGGAACATAAAGAAGAACAACAGGTGTATAGAAATTTACAAAGGCTCCTAAAAAAATAAAAATAAAGGATCTTTTTGACTCAGTAGCCATATCTTAGGATATTTGTTCAAGTTAATTGAAATCAGAATGTCCTTTCAATTAAAATTTTTATTTTTAATGATACAAATTTATTGAATGTAGGAGGAAATGCATAAACTGGTTTAAGTGTGTCATGGACTCGTGTTCTTTGATAATATTTCATAGACCCTACCCGGACTACTTGCCCACTTTCTCGCAGACCATATACAGGATTTGATGTTCTGTGTAAAATCTTGGGCTTACAAATGAGATCATGTGATTGATAATTTTTTGAGTGTGATTTATTCATTAAACATATAATCTCATATGCAGCTGTTCTCTAGAAAATGAAGTGGTTGAAATCAGAATCCTAAAGTGATAGTGACACTTGCAAGTTTGTGCCCTTCCAATGAACAATTGAGAAGATGTAGCTGAATCTTAGATGCTCTTTGAGAAGCAACTGGATAAAGAAATTAAGACAAAAAGTCCATTGCTATATACAGTTTCACACAAATAATGTTCATAAAAGTCAGCCAGCAAAGGAGAGAACAGTCCCTTGGTTTGTAGGAGCTGAGATTGGAGGAACCAGGAAGATGGTCATCATTGGGTATTAAATTTCAGTTGTTCCAGATAGAAATCTTCCATGGATCTACTGTTCAACACTATGGCTAGTGTCACTGATTCAGGGGACCATGTTAAACATTTAGAATTCTATTGATTTTGTGGATTTTTTCATTAAGTGATTCATCAAAATAAGATGATAGATGCTATGGAATGATGAAAGCACAGAGTTTATTAAAAAATTGCTTACTTTCATAGACAAATTTCATAAGTGAGAAGAAAGAAGGAGATAACACATAAAAATCTGGGGTTAACTCAGTACAGTTGAGAAGAAATACAAGTTTTATTTTTTGGGGTAGGTTTTTTTTTTTAAGTTATTAGGTGAGACATATAAAAATCTTAGCTCAGAATTTAAACTGATACCTGACTTTCCACATAGCCCCCATGAAGATGTCACAAGATGCATAATCTCTGGAGATGAGGAGAGAGGTGTGAGGGACACCATCCTTTCTCACAGCATTTTTCCACACTTAAGTTAGATTTTACATTCGCCAGGTTTCCTGGTGAGAACATGAAGGGGGTCAGCAAAGGTTAAGGTGTGACTTTGTTGAATCCAGGGGCAGTCAACTCTCCCCAGAGCATGGCTGTGCAGACATTCTTTAGGGGAGCTGGTCAGCAGCAGCAGGGTTGGCAGCAAGGTGTGCTGCAGCTGATGGTCACACAGGTTGGTTTGCAACAGGTGTCCTTGCAGCAGCTGGGCACACAGCAGCAGGGCTGGCAGCAGGTGGGCACGCAGCAGCAGGGTTGGCAGGAGCAGGGCTGGCAGCAGCAGGGTTGGCAGCAGGTGGGCACGCAGCAGATGGTCACACAGGTTGGCTTGCAACAGGTGGTCTTGCAGCAGGTGCTTTCACAGCAGGTGGGCACACACAAGCAAAGCTTTAAGCAGCAGGGCTGGCAGCAGGCAGGCACACAGCAGCAGGGCTCGCAGCAGAGTATGCTGCAGCAACATGGGAGACAGCAAGGCTGGCAGCAGAGGGACTCAGGGCAGCTGTATTCACAGCAGCAAGGCTGGCAGCAGGTGGTCTTGCAGCAGGTGGTCTTGCAGCAGCATGGCTCACAGCAAGGTGGGCAGCAACAGAGGGCCATGGTAGCAGGTGTGGAGGGTTTTACTCTGTTCACGGGTAAGTTTTCAACTGTGTAGAAAGATTTTCTAGTCACAGACTTTTATACCATGGGTCTCCAAGGTTTGAGCCAATTAGAAAGACTCTTCCTCTTTGTTCACCATTTCCATATTTAATTTGTGTTCCTGAAGAAGGAAATTCTCACCTCATGCTCTGAATCATTTGGAAGCATCCTTTTCCTCTTTGGGGATAGCTCACTTGAACTCTTTCCAATAACTCGGACGCTCATCCCATCAGCTTTGTTGCAGCTCTAGTCATCATCTGGTCTTTGGTAGCTCCTGCTCTATGGGAAGGTCAAGATTCCTTCGTTCTTACTTTCTTCTGCCATCTGGGCTTAGATTTACAAATGTCTCTGGGCATGAGTGTGCTGTATTCAGCATGATGGACTCAACACCTAATTTCCTGTCTGGTTGCCCACAAAACCGATTTCCAAACTGTCCAAGGTTGTGTCAATCTCTGTATATAGTGTTATGCCTTGTATCTTGGTCTCACTAAAGGTGGTTTGAGATAAGGGTATCTCCAATGGTGTGTTTCTTAGCAGAGTAGAGCCAGAACTGGTGATTATAAATAGAAACAGTACATTAGGAATAAAGAGGCATCAAGGGAGATGTGGATGGCCGTCAGTCCTGAGTGACTGTCTTCTCCTGGGAGCTCATGGGGAGAAAGTCCTTAGATCCAGACAAAGGAGGGTGGGCATGCTATTCCAGGGCACACCTGGCTGTCTGTAGGGGCAGTGACGTTAGACTGGAGATCTCCTGATTTCCTTCTGCTGCCTGACTCTCTTTACTTTTATCCCCATCCCTCTCTGTCTGGACTTTCTTCTTCATTTTCTTTTCTACTCTACCTCTTTTCTTTCCATTTAGTGACAGAATTATTTATTACCTAATTTATCCTCGGGGAATATGATGTGTCTCTCTCTCTTTCATACTCTTTCCCATCACTCTAGTCTACTGTTCATACTAAAAATACATAGATAATTAACTTCCCATTTGAGAGAACAAATGGTCAGCACAGCCACAGAATTATTAAAGAAATGGAAATGAACTTCGGTCCTTACAATCCATTTTATATCACTCAAGCTCAAAAGCTGCTTCTCACTATCTTCAAGGATCAGTTACATCACTGTTAATGTTGCTGCAAATCAAAATTAATCTATGCCCTTGACCATAAGATGATTGTCACAAACACTTACCGTCATGGACCCCAGTTTGTTCATTCTCACTTTATTGTACCATTTCACTAAACGAGTTTGACACCACTCACTGATTGGATTTTTATGCCAAGAAGACAGGTTGCTTACAGCTTGGGACTATTCAGAACAATGTTTTAATTGTTTCTGTTTTATGCACAAAGGCTGTACAGACACTTTCAGCTACATAGAAACTTGTTTATCATGAAATGTTGGTCCTTTTGTTTTGCAAGAGCCTTGTCCTTATTTTACTAAATTTATTCTTAGAAGTTTCTAGTATTGCATCTTGTTTGTTTATTTGTTTTTGCTTTTTTGGAGACAGGGTTTCTCTCTGTAGTGCTGACTGTTATGGAACTCACTCTGTAGAACCAGGTTGGCCTTGAACTTATAAAGAACCACGTGCCTCTGCCTCCCTAGTGCTGGGATTAAAGTGTGCACCACCTCCCCCTGGCTGCACTATTAGTGTTTTAGTTTAACACTTGCATATTTGTTTCATATGACATACAGAAATTGATGGATTTTTATTAGCACCCACTGATTTCACAAAACAGTGCATTTGATCACTACATTGTCGTGAATGCACTTAACACAGTTTGATCAAATTTACTCAACATCACCGAATTTAATGTCCCCTGTGGCCTCTTTCTGATTCCCTTTCTCTTCTCAAGTCATCCCATTGCTTCTTTTGTGTCCCCACCCTCCTTATATGAGGGAAACATGACTTTTGTCTTTGGAGTCCAACTTAATTTACTTATTAAGACGATCTCCAAATTTCAGCTGTTTTCTGGACAATGACATCATTTATTCTTCTTCATATATGCCATATTTTTTTTGCATCCATCCATTGAGAGACAGGCAGGCTGGTTCTTTGTTGTATGTACTGTGGAGGAGTCATGTGGTGGTTCTAATTTTAGATTATTTTTAAAGATCCTACAAGCTAATTTCCATACAGACTGTGCTAATTTCCATTCCTATTACAGTGTGTAAAAGTTTTATTTCCCCCTGGATCCTCACCAGCAATTTTTTGTTGGCTTTCTTGATGACAACCTTTCCTGATGGGAGTGAGGTAGAATTTCAAGGATCTTTTGGTTTGTATTTCCTGGTAGTTTGTGGTGTTCAAATATGTTTTTTATATATTCTTTTAGTCATTTTTACTTTTGCTTTTTAAAAAGTCTACAGAGAATTGAAAAATTTAGTGATGGCATGAACTTTTGTTTTGATTTAAATTTTTATTTATTTATTTTCTATTTATTTTTATAGTTTTTATTGAGCAATATATTTCTTTTCTCCCCTTCCTTCTCACCTCTACCCCTTCTATGCCCTCCCATTATCTTTATGCCCCCAATTTACTGAGGAGATCTTGTCTTTTTGTACTTCCCATGTATATTAGATCCATGTATTTCTCTGTTAGGTTCTTTTTTGTTGTCTATGTTCTCTGGGGTTGTGAATTATAGGCTGTTTTTTCTTTGTTTTATGTCTAAAAGACACTTATGAGTGAGTATATAGCATATTTCATTTTTCTGTGTCTGGGTTACTTCACTCAATAGGATGTTTTAGATCTATTTATTTTTAGGCAAATTTCAAGATGTCATTATTTTTTGCTGCTGTGTAGTATTCCATTGTGTAAATGTACCATGTTTTCTTTATCCATTCTTTTGTCGATGGGCATTAAGGTTGTTTCCAGGTTCTGGCTATGACAAACAATGCTGCTATGAACATAGCTGAGCACATGTCATTTTGGTATGATTGGGCATCCTTTGCATATACATCCAGAAGTAGTATTGCTTGGTCTTGAGGTAGGTTGTTTCCTAATTTTCTGAGAAATTGCTGTACTGATTTCCAAAGCGGCCACAGCAGTTTGCACTTCCACCAGCCATGGAGGAATGTCCTCTTTACCCCGTATCCCTTTCATCATAAGCTGTCATCAGCATTTTTGATCTTGACTATTCTGGCAGGTGTACGATGGGAACTTAGAATGGTTTTGATTTTCATTTCTCTGATGACTAAGGATGTTGAACATTTCTGTAAGTGGCTTTTAGTCATTTTAGATTCATCTGTTGAGAGTTCTCTGTTTAGGTCTGTACTCCATTTTTTATTTTATTATTTGTCCTTTTGATGACCAATTTCTTGAGTTCTTTGTATATTTCGGAGATCAGACCTCTGTCAGATGTGGGGTTAGTGAAGATATTTTCCCATTCTGTAGGCTGTCATTTTGTCTTGTTGACCATTTCCTGGCTACCCAAGCCTGAAATAATCACACAGAAACTATATTAATCACAAAACTGCTTGGCCAATAGCTTAGGCTTCTTATCAACTAACTTATATTTAAACTAACCCATTTCTATTATTTTACATTTTATCATGAGGTTGTAGTCTATCAGCAATTTCTGGCATCTCTCTCTTTTGGCAGCTACATGGCATCTCTCTGACTCTGCCTACTCTCTGTTTATATCATTTCCAGCCCAGTTATATTCTTCCTTGCCATTGGCCTAAAGTATTTCTTTATTAACTAGTGGCAAAAAAACTTATTTACAGCATATGTAGGGGAATCCCAGATCAGTTTGCCAGTATTTTATTGAGTATTTTTGCATCAATGCTCATGAATGAGATTGGTCTATAATTCTCTTTCTTAGTAATATCTTTGTGTGATTTGGGTATCAGGGTAATTGTAGCCTCATGAAAGGAGTTTAGCAATGTTCTTTCTTTTTCTTTTGTGTGAAACAATTTGAGGAGTATTGATGGTAATTAGTTCTTCTTTGAAAATCTTGCAGAATTCTGCATTGAAACCATCTGGTCCTGGGCTTTTTTTTTGGTTGGGAGACTTTTGATGACTGCTTTTATTTCTTTAGCAGTTATAGGTCTATTTTATTTGCTTATTGGGTATTGATTTAAACACTTGACATTTTGATATTTCTTCTAACTTCTGGAAATCACCTCTCCTGTCCATCCATCCTCATGGGCATAAGATTCAATATTGATTGTGTCTCAGATCCACTCTTCCAAGGGTGTTGTTATGAATAATGGTCAGAAAAAAAGCTAAACACAGGAGAATAGACTTAGGGTTTTTGTTTTGCAAAGAAAAAAGGGGGAATGCTGTGTGACAATGCTCTTATAAACTGTAAAGTCTTGTCACTCATATTGGTTTAATAAAATGCTGATTGGCTAGTATTCAGGCAGGGAGTATCGGCAGGGCAATCAGACTAGGAGGATTCTGAGAAGAGGAAAGGCAGAAACACAGTCATAAAACCAGTTGTAGAAGAAGCAAGATGAATATGCCTTCCTGAGAAAAGGTATCAAGATACGTGGCTAAAGATAGATTAAAAATTATGGGCGAGTTTAAGTAGTAAGAGCTAGTTAGTAATAAGTCCAAGCAATAGGCCAACCAATTAATAATTAATATAATCCTCTATATGCTTATTTGGGATGGAATGGCTGTGGGTGTGTGTAGGACAGAAATTTCCATCTACAGAAACCTTCCATGGATCCACTGTTTCAAAGCATGTTAGTGTCATTAAAGCAGGGCAGGGGGGAACCAAGTTGAGTATTTAGAATTCTGTTCAATATGTGAATTTTTTATGTGGTTCATCAGAACAAAATGACAGACACCATGAAATGATGATAGCACAGAGTTTATTAAAATTGCCTATTTCCAGGGACACATGTTATAAGTGAGAAGAAAAAAAATGCCACATAAAAACATTGGGGTAGCTAAGAAAATACATTTGAAAAGATAATGGATGAAATCAAGTTTTATTTGGGAAGCAGTGTTTTCTTAAGTTATTTGGTGAGAGATATAAAGATCGTGGTTCAGAATTTAGACTGATACCTGACCTTCACATCAGCCCCCATGACGATGACATCCATAATCTTTGGAGATGACAGGAGAAACATGTGAGGAATGCCATCTTTCCTCACAGCATTTCCCACACTTAAGTTAGATTTTATATTCGCCAGGTTTCCTGGTGAGAACATGAAGGGGGTCAGCAAAGGCTAAGGTGTGACTTTGTAAACCTAGGGCCCATCAACTCTCTGGAGAGCATGGCTGTCCAGACATTCCTTAAGGGAGCTGGTCAGCAGCAGCAGGGTTGGCAGCAAGGTGTGCTGCAGCTGATGGTCACACAGGTTGGCTTGCAACAGGTGTCCTTGCAGCAGGTGGTATCACAGCAGGTGCTTTCACAGCAGGTGGGCACACAGCAGCAGGGCTGGCAGCAGGTGGGCACACAGCAGCAGGGCTGGCAGCAGGTGGGCACACAGCAACAGGGTTGGCAGCAGGGTGTGCTGCAGCAGATGTTCACACAGGTTGGCTTGCAACAGGTGGTCTTGCAGCTGGTGGTATCACAGCCACAGGGCTTGCAGCATGGTGTGCTGCAGCAACATGGGGGACAGCAAGGCTGACAGCAGTTGGACTCAGGGCAGCTGGATTCACAGCAGCAGGGCTGGCAGCAGGTGGTTTTGCAGCAGGTGGTCTTGCAGCAGCATGGCTCACAACAAGGTGGGCAGCAGCAGAGGGCCATGGTATCAGGTGTAGAAAGTTTTACTCTGTTCACAGGTGAGTTTTCAATAGTGTAGCAAGTTCTTCCAGTCAGGGCCTTTTATACCATGAGTCTCCCAGGATTAGGCCAATTGGAAAGTCTCTTCCTCTTTGTTCACCATTTCCATATTTAATTTGTGTTCATGTGGAAGGAAATTCTCACCTAACATTCTGTTCATTTGAAAGCATTCATTTCTTATTTGGGGATAGCTTACTTGAACACTTTCCAGTATCTCAACGATTCATCCCATTTGCTTTGTTCTAAC